AATTAATCAGCCTCACCAAACCTACCAACCCCCTGAAAACAAAATCATCAACAGAATGCAGAGTTCAACATCGAAACAGGTATGCGGCCTGTTCCCGGGAAGTCGTCTAAAGGACCCCCCTTTCATGTGGTGCTTGTTATGTCGGAACGACCGGAAGGTGTCTGAGCGATTGGCTGAGAGAGCACGCGAACAATGTTAGAAACGGGAAAGATGGCTTTCTTGTCCAGCACTGCACTGAGTGCAATTGTGTTCCCCTCTTCGAGGACACAGCGACGTTGTACAAACACAGATGTAAGCACCCGAATCATTGTCGAGGCTGCGCAGATGGCACGCGAACAGGTGCCTTGTATTAGCAAGCCCTCCGTGGCTTTGTCCGAGAAGGAACGCAGGTTCCTCGAAGGATTCGGTGCGGGCAGGTAGTTATTTTATCTTTACCTTTCTGTTTCGTTTTCTGCTAAGTTTTTTTATTTGCTGTTTTTCAGTGCCTTTGTATTTGTGTTGTTTGTTTTTGGTTTTCTTACTCATGTTCTGCTCTTCTGTCATATGGTTTTTATCACATGGTCACTGTCTCCTCTATATATTTTCGTGCTCTGCGCAATAAACTCAGTTGGAATTTAGCGCTCGTGTCTTTCGTGTCCTTCTGGTCTCTGTGTCGTCGTTTTGTTCTCGCGCTATAACTATCGTCGTTAGTACGAAAGTTTGTCTCCTGCAAAAAGAGCACGTCTACGCGATACGCCCGCGTGAGACAAGTACTGCCTGCTGCTTCACCGGCTTTCGAAAACCGCGAACATTGAACGACATAAAAGAAAGTGATGCCATTGTTGAAATAAAGGCGGCGAAGTTGCTTAAAGGAAAAAAAAGGTAAGAGAGAGGAGAGCCAATTGATAAAAGTACATATCGTCGTCGCTCACAGTTGGTGACGTTTGCCATGGTGGCGATCCCACGCGGGGTTTCTTAAATGTTCCCTGTTTAGCGGAGTCGCTGCCGCTGCTCCCACTGCCTGGCTTGGATCGGCGTTGTGAACTCGGAGGACTCAATGCGTCTGCCGATCAGGCGGATTTGGTAGAAACCTCGGTGTCCGCCGGTTTGCTCCACCTTGGTGGTCGGCTTCTTAGCTGCTTCATCGATATCGACGGCCTAGCCTTCATGTTCTTCAAGGTTGTAAACATTCTAAGGTTAGCGTTTGGTGTGCTGTAACTGGCGTCTGTCGCTGTCGTGGCAAAGGAAATCAAAGCAGTGCTTTCGGCGATGCCTTTTGTGATGGGTACCTGTTCGTCCGGCGTTTGGCACTTCTCGGACGCCACTGATGCGCTGCAGTTATGTAGAGTTCTGATGCTGCCTACTAGTGAAGAAAAATCCCTGGGCGTTTCCGTGGAACTCCAATTTGGGTGTTCATGTTGCGTCTGAGCGGGCTGTTCATCTGAAGTTGCCCCGCCTGGCGTACTGGCCGGCTTGACACGAGCTGCGTCTTCCGACTGCGCGTCTACGAAATCATTGGACAGGCTCTCTTCATCCCAGTGGTCTGGTGTCTTGACTCGAGTCATTTTCTTTTGAGGACGCAGTACTTCATAGGTTCTAGATTGCGTGGCCACACTTGAGGAGCTTGAAGAGGATTCTTCAATTGTTGGGAAGTCCTGAACACTCGGTGACGGCGTCTTCTGAGCTGCGTCTGCGTATGATCTGCGCTTGAAACATTCTTTGGTCGGGTGATCACCTCCACACCTTCTGCAGGCTTCAGTGCACTCTTCCACAGCGTGTACGAACGCGCTGCACCTATGACGAAAAGGTGTTGCACAGTCCACGGCCATGTGGCCTTCGTTGTGGCAACGCGCACAGACGCGACGCATGCCATGGTACTCTAACATAACGCGGTGCCCATGGATCAAAATGAAGTTCGGTGCCGGCTTTGCCATTTCCATCTTTACCACTAGTGTACCGGTAAACGTAGACGGACGTCGTTGCAGATTAACATATGTTATACTACTTACTTTGCTGAAAGGCTGGAAAGCAGAGACGACCGCGTCATCGGGTACGTACGGCGGCAACCTGTACACCCTCACGAACCCACTTGGTGGGCCGACGACTTCTACTTGAACTTTTTTTCTTCTGAAGTACCAAACCTTCATTCACCATGAGCTTGGTGGCTTGATCCGCTGTCCTCGTTGCTACCAAAAACTTCAAAGCGCCGAGGTGTTGCAGGAACAACACCCCTTCGCTACCGGTCGTCTCTTCGAGACACTCGATGATTTCATCGACGGAGAGCGCGCCTTCAGGAACGGTAAACGTGAAACAATGTTCTTTTGGAGGGGTGCATACTGGCCTCGACGCCATCCTCCAAGGGGCCCCAGGGGTCGGCGACTTCTCAGCCGAAGCCCCGGGGAACCTGAATGCGGGTGAGACGCCAAAGAGAGGCCACCGAAACGCTGGATGCGCGCGTCGGCGAGAGCCTCACATAGATAATAAAACACGAACGCTGATGACGAAGCTCCTTATAGCGGCACCCGTTCGTCCCGCGTAGTCGTAGTGTGTGACCAGTCTTACGTTTTGACCTACAAGGTGGTGCCGGTGGGAGATATGTTTTGTGCGTTGTTGAACAATAAAAAATTCGCAACGTGTGCGTTAGCTAAAGCCGAATTCTCCAGTCTCTCATTCCCCCTTAGCAGACAATGGCATGTACATTGAGCATTATCTGACAAGAAAAGATTGCTATGTTTTACTCGCTGGGCGTAACCTCCTTGCTTTTAGAAAGGTTTAGCGAGCAATGGGCTGCAGTGCCAAGAATACAGTGAACTAGTATATATTATGAACTCGAGGTGGTTAAAGGTGGGAAGTAGACACGAAGTGCAAGCTGTAAGAAAGTGTGCATGTGCCTCATCTCGTTCAGTCCTTGCAATTCCCGGTGGATGGTGGTGCTTCTATATGAAGAATATATGATAAAGAGATGCGAGATGGTGGTACATGGAGTGTTGAATAGGTGGACGAACGGACACGCAGACAGATGCATGGATGGACGCACGGATGACTGCATGGACGGATGGACGCATGGACGGACGCAGGAGCGGATGCATGGACGAACGCAGGGATGGACGCACAGATGGACGTGCGCACGCACGAGCCGACGCACGCGCGGACGGGCGGATGGACGCACGGGCAGCCACACAGACACACGCAGGACAGACGGAAGCAAGAACGAATGGACGGACGGATGCTTCGCCCCACTCTCTATCATTGACACCGTGGATATGCTGCCATTTTTTTTTCTCCTCACGCACCGTCGCCGTGCTTCCACGTACGGCACGCACCTGATGCCTGTTACTCATTTCACAGATCTGCTGGTAACTTAACACCGTTCATCAAAATACTGAACGAAACAAGAAACAATACCAAATAAAACCATTGTAGTTGTTGGTGGTACATTACCTATTTAATAAACTTGAGTTATTCATAAACATTTCTGCATTTTTACATGCCAAGACAGTGATGTGATTATGCGGCCCGCTATAGAAAACTGGAAATTTTCACCAGCTGGTGTTCTTTAAGGTGCACCGACATCATACTGTACACGGTTCCCTACCATTTTGCTTCCATCGAAATGAGACCGCTGCGGCCGGTATCAATCCTGCATCTTTCAGGTCACCATAGTGGCGGTATATATACCACAGCCACAATAGTCCCATAAAACAGAGTAAAAGATAAATTAGAAGTAATGTAAAGAAATAATGTATATATATATATATATATATATATATATATATATATATATAATAAGGGAAAGAGGTGTATACCTAAGGGCTCGTTTTTCCGTGTTTTAACACAATGTTAATGAAATCTAACAGACAGTAATGCCAAGGAATGTACAGGGGAAGGTATTAGAACCAATGGAATGTAAATAGGAAGAAAGAAGAAAGAAAAGTGGATGAAAAAATAACCAGCCGTGAGCAAGAATCGAACCTACGACCTTCAAATAACACGTTCGATGCTCTAACTACTGAGCTACCACAGCGGACTTCCCTCCATCCACTTTTTTGGGTTTATATGTGAATTTAGAAGTAGGAGTGCTAGTCAGCGCCATCTATAAGCCAAACAACGAGTGTGAAAACACTCTTATTCGCATCTTTGGCGTCACGTAGCACGTGAAATCATTATGAGCGGGCAGCTGATTAATCGTCCCTCTTATACAACCTAAACACACCAAGTCTGCCAGAACGAGACCCTCGTTCAATGAAATAAGGAAAAGAGGTGTATACCTAAGGGCTCGTTTTCACGTGTTTCAACCCAATATCAATGAGATCTAACAGACAGTAATGCCAAGGAATATACAGGGGAAGGTATTAGAACCAATGGAATGTAATTAAGAAGAAAGAAGAAAGAAAAGTGGATGAAAATATAACCAGCCGTGAGTAGGAATCGAACCGCGTTCAATGCTCTAACCATATATATATATATATATATATATATATATATATATATATATATATATATATATATATATATATATATATATATATATATATATATATATATATATATATATACAATCTCTTCAAAGTTATTCACCGTGTCCTTGCAGGAGGTTGTATTTAACCAAAACAATTTAGACTGTTCAGAACCTCTCCAAAAGGTCAATAATGGCGCCATACATTCTTGTGATTTGCTTGAGCCTCTTATGATATATAACTTAGCAAAAACCTCCCACCCACTCCCCTTTCTAGCCTGTCCAGTGAAGAAGATCAATACATATTCGTGGTATCCCTTCGCTGTTTGATTCTCTTGTTTGATTCAAGTTTTCTCTTTCATTGAGGTAGAAGGTTCAGCCAGCTGGTACAAGCTGTAAAGGCGAAAATGGACACGAACAAAGAAGGTGCAAGGAAAAAGAAAACTACAGGAGTAGCATTAAATAACCGCCCAGTTTTTTCATGCCTGCTGCTTTCTTAACTGCTTTTCAAGTCCAATCATTAAAGTATTTCGTTCCTCAAGCAAGGGGTCTGCAATTTTCTTACCGCTGGAACCTCCTGGAGTCCTGCGTAGGTCGTAGGGATTGCGCGTGCGCCCGTAGAGCCTGTTGTTGGACTCCCACCACATGGCCATCTCGGAGACATTGGTTACCGCAAGAGGGATGGCACCCGCCACTCGCAGAGCCGCCACTGCATCCGAGTCACACTCAGCCAGCGCCCCACGGCGGCTGCACAGTCCCGCGTCCAGGGCCAGTCCTGCATAAAAAAGAGCCAATGTATGGTTCTCAGAAGCAGTGCCTAAACGTAAATCTGGCTTAGAACTTATTTCTGGTGCATGGAGTCACCCAATAAATGACCTTCAATAAACCCTTATACGTGGCAGCTGTCGCATGTGGTGCAGATAGTGTGCATAACATGGAATGAAATTCACTCATCGTAGTAATTCGTTGATACATCACTGCAGGACTTGCTGGCAGCAATACCTACGATCCTAAAGCGATGGCCCATGTTCACCCGTAGTTTACCTTAAATTGCATCAGCGAGGGAAATCCTAGAATGTGTCGCCGTCTTCGGATAATTGGTCACTGTTGTTGCCTCAGTTGCCAATGTGAAAGTTGATAAGTGTAATTTCACTTTGTAAGTCTTACTTTTAGAATTTAATGAAGACCGAAAAAAAGCACCATGCTTTAGCGAAGGAGATCGTTAGTTCTCAAGCGCTGGAAAGGGAAGGGAGACCACAACAATCTAATCTCTACTGACCAGTTGTATATTCGACATACAACGCCTTCCTGGGAGGACTTATAATGTGGGAATGGTTCCGCAACTTGACAATATATCTTGTAGTATCCTTCAAAACTCTGTGACTTTGTTAAGGTGAACGTGGCGAATCTGCATCAACCCACTCGGAGGCTGCCAGCTTTCATTCAGTTACGTTGCGAGGCCTTGGAACATGCAACACGAAGTACGTAGCATGAAATGAAATTCCTCCAGAAGGACTTAACTATGTCATTGTTTATTCGGCCATGCATTATGCATACCCGTGCCGAGCATCTAGCAACCACATTTAGGTTGGTCTCATAGAATGTTCCTCATTCACCTAAAGATGTACTCAATATATTGTACGTATTCGTTTAAATATATATTATTACGGATAATTGTTTTGCCACCTAATTGGTAATAAATGTTGTGTGTGTGTGTGTGTGGTGTGTGTGTGTGTGTGTGTGTGTGTGTGTGTGTGTGTGTGTGTGTGTGTGTGTGAATCCGTGAAGTATCAGTAAAGTTAAGTTTTTATCGTGCAGTTTAAGCACATTCCCTCTCCTTTCGTTTCAAGGAGTGAGCTGAAAGCTACACGTGGTGGTGGAGGGTGATAGCCGGAGAGGCATAAAGCCTTGGCAGTGCACATCAGGATTATCAGCTGTGTATTCTGTTTTTGTGTTAAAGCGCATCGACTCCCATTCCGCTGGGATGGCGAGTGCTCTTGCGTAGTTTTATGATCCACTAACGTAGCACTACAGAACACGGGGCAGGCACGTGATGACCACCGTAGCGTAGACTAACTATGCAGCACACGAATACTGAAATCAGCCAAAGACATTGTTAATACGTCTTTGTCGAAATTGAGCTTTTCTATGTAATGGTGTGTCGAGTGAAAAAAGAGTGAATTCTAGCGGGCGTTAGCACATAATTATACATTCGCTACCACATTCGGCACTGTAATATTTGACTCACGTATGTTCACGGAATTCTCGACTGCGTACTACCAGGCAGCGTATTCTAATCAAGTTCAAAGGAATCGTCGGGTATTTTTTAGGGTTTTATGATACGGCTACAAAGTTTATTGCTTGGTGTTGTAGCTTTCCAGGATAAGCAAGCGCATCAGCGAGTGGCATTCAACAGTTACAGCCAAACTCGGAGACGTTGAAGTCACTAAAAAATGAGAGTTCGATATGTCGAATCACTTCATGCACAACTTTTGAAAAACTGCTTCCATTTCTTGTGGGAATTCAGGTGCGAAATCTCGCTTCACGGAAATTTTTTACGATAAATAAAAAAAAGGACGCCTTCATGACCAAAAAACTCATGTTTTTCTAACTGGCAGTTTATTGCGGCTTTACTTTAAAGGCGCGAATTTATATGCAACGAAGACTCATACACAAGAAAATACAATACCGATGTCACTAACCCCTGAACGTCTTCATACGCATATGTACGTACTCGTCGGGTGCCTGGAGCCGCTATTCTGTCTGTTCCTAGTGGCGGGCTTGTCTTCGAGTAGGACACTCAGCGTGCTTCTTTGCATGATTTAGGCCATGGTGATGTGATAATTCTTTCTCAATATTTGATTGCATTCATCACGGATAGAATTGAAAAGAACCCCATGAATATTCGCAGAGAAAAAGAGCGAGGAAGGCACTCCATGTGTGGGGAGATGAACATTTTAACTACAATAAGTAAACGGTGACTCCGCACAGCTGGCTGGCAGGCGCGACTGTTCCGCGAATGGACTCCATTGTTGCGCGAGGCTGAGGAGTTATGCGAGAAAGCATGTCAAGCCAAGTGGTATAGTTTCTACTCGCTCCCTTTGGCACCGTTCAAATCCCACCACTTGCTCACCCGAATATTGATAGGAAAGTCCTCTTCCATGAACGAAGCGGTCTTATGATGCAAAGCCAGCTTTTTAGGGCGTTTTGCTCATCCTCATAATTAATATAGCAATTGTTCTGGCTGATCTTCTTCATTTTTGCCATGTACTTTCTTATGAATTGGCATTAAAACACGGTGATGTTGAAAAAATGCTTTGGTGTAAAGAATAATGAAATAAATGAATAATTGAAGTTAAGTAACTTGACGTGATCAAGTTGAATATAGTCAGCTTTGACTGTGTATATAACATTAAAGTGGACACACTTTTATCGCTTCCGGAGAAGTCATCGGAAAATACTCGCAAATTTCCAGGGTTTTTATAGAGTCCATTCGTTTCAAGCCCCATAAAAATTCCTAACTGTGAAAAGTCTATTCTTCGTCACACAGTGACCTTGAAATAATTATTGCTTAAAACGCACACACATAAGTAAATTCCACTGGATTTTAAGCTTCGGATTAAGGGAATAATATGCGTGAATAACGAGCGTACCTAACGTTGCCGCGTACGATCTGCAAAAAAAAAAAAAAGCGGAACTTCGGACGCTATCACCAAGATGCGGCTCATATGCGAATTTCGGTGTGCAGTGTAGCTTCAGGGCATTGCAAGGAATGTGACGAACAGCCCTAGCTCGGGGTGAGAACAAGTGAAGGACGGCGTGACCTACATCATGTCAAGAAATAATTTTCGCATTGTCTTAGCACAGTAAGTGGATTATTTCTACGGAGGTATAAAGTTTATTGGATGACGTGCTCACGTATGTGTTTCAATTTTGCTATATGTACATGGAGTTCCTTGTCAATTGCGCCAGCTTGTTACACGCTAGAAAATGAAATATGTTCGCTGCAGGCATTAGGAATGCCTTGAACGCAGGAGAAGTGATGGTAATGGAAGTCCTAAGGAGAATGTCAAAGTCAAGATCGCAGTGTGTTTGGCCGCTTACTTGCGTACCAAGACCCGCCTCGGAGGTCTAGTGGATAAGGCCCTCGGCTGCTCTTCTGTAGATAGCAGGGTCGGATCCCGGCCGCGGCAGCCGCATTTTCGATGGAAGCGAAGATGGGAGATGATTTAGACTTCAAATAAAAAGTTTTGGTTGGAGTCTAAATCATCTTCCAGTTTCATGCCAACCAGACAGACTTCTGTTGAATGTTACATTCAAGTGAGAAGCGAAGATGCTTGTGGCCCATGTGCTTAGATTTGGGTGCACGTTAAAGACGCCCTCCACTATGGCGTCTCTCACAACCATGTCGTGTGTTTATAATAATAATAATAATAATAATAATAATAATAATAATAATAATAATAATAATAATAATAATAATAATAATAATAATAATAATAATAATAATAATAATAATAATAATAATAATAATAATAATAATAATAATAATAATAATAATAATAATAATAATTAAATATTAATAACTATAATATTATAATGATAATAATAACAACAATTAAAATATATTCCAGCAGCAAATAAACCATAGTGAAGAACTACTTTGGATAAAGTGAAACTCTCCGTGGTCATCTGTTATATGACATAGGCGAACGATTACTCTGGCGCCTTGTGCGCAACTGACCTTGTGGTGGAAGTCCTGATCAAATTGTTCATTGGCAGTATGCGCTAAACAGGTGCCGTGAGCAGTTACGAGAAGATCTCCCGTTTTTCAAGCAGAAGGCAAGCTAACGCTGCACGATGTTTCGAATGAAACACACGTTCTAATGGCCGTGTTCTTCAGTGCAGCTGTTGCTGAAGTTGGTTGATTTTCGCGACCACATCCTACAATCAGAGTTTATCTGCTAGACCCTGCTAATGAGCCATTTTCGTTTTCCGCGGACATCCACTTTGATGCAAAAATCGTGCAAAAGGCCTCTACCACTGTTTCATGTACGCTACAATCACTATTTGCCTTAAGTGCATATGACAGCTATCGATAGCATCATGCGCGATTGCTTTCACGAAATATTCGCCACGCTATGCGGTGCAGGAAGGGACCTTACTTCCGTGACCCACACGCGGTCTTACATTCACGTGTATCAAATCGTACTGCCATCGAAATCAAACGAGATAGGTAAAAGACTTCACGGTATGAAGATATGTTGATTCTCATCATGCTTCGCGTCGGTGACCCTGGCATTCCCGAAAGTTTTCTAGCGAATTTTAATTGAATTGATGTAGCCATTTCTGGTAGCATGGATCTCTGCCATTGCCTCGGCTGTCGGGTCATTCAGAAGAGAACCGTGATGTAGACCTTGTTGACGTCGTTACATTATATTTTAGTAGTAGCCTACATGTAGGGCATATTTGAAATAAAACCTATCGGGCAAAAAAGAAAAGACGATGGACAAGGAGATTTCAAGAAGGGTAATGTGATTTAAGTTTTGGCGGAAAGTGTTCAAGAAGACAGCTACCACTTCATCGTAGTTCTGTGTCACCTCATTTCCTAAAGTAATTATTCAAGTGTAGCCATGGCACACTTCGGAACCGTTTTCGAATGAATGCCTCAATCTTGTGGATTGTATGAATGGCGGTTTGATTAAGTCATGCTGACCCCGCGTGATCTTAGGAATAGCAATGTCAGCTTCAAAATGTGGTGTGGAAGCAGTCGCTGTGCACTTGTGACCTCAACTTTATATTGCAGTAGCAAATTGTCTGTATTAGTGCTCTTATTATTAGACATCTCGGCGCAGAACTCACCTTTGTGAGCTCGCCTCATAACTCTCAGGGAGGCTTCGAAGAGATACAAGTTTGAATTCACTAAGTTCAATGACGTGTCGTCGATCTATTTAACAAGTCCCGGTCTGCTGAGCTTTTAGAGGTGATGTCAAGCGTTTCTCGGTTCATCCAAGTTGAGGTTCTACTCTCTGGTTCTATCACCAAATGTAACGGCGCAGCATAGGTCGCTCAGCATTGGATGGGCGGATGACGGCATTTCGCTTCTGCTCGGTGGCATCCTTGTTGAGTTGGCGCTTGCTAGGGCAACCACGTTATCTTTAAGCTTTGCTGTTGGTCTTTCATTTTATAAATATCAAATTTGCCGTCTGAATATCCCAAGCGCTCTTTTGGTGTCAGTTCATACCGATGTGCGTGCCGGTTAGCATGCCTGTCTAAGTGTTATCCATTTTTTCGTGTGTGCGCTTGTGATTTATGCGGGAAAGCCATAGCTATAGGTTGACCTCAAACGCTTTTGTTGCAACAAAAGCCGACGCTAACGACTATATTCATGAAACCGTATGCTCTATTCACTTCACCAGACAAGCTTGTCACATAAAAGGAAACGAAACGCCCTTTAGAATAACCCCGTGTAAGACGGCTGGTTCAGACACCCTGCATTTTTTTCACAACGCTCACGGAGTACATACTAAACACCCTGCAGCATTCTCTAGTACCAGACAATTTCTTTTGTACTTCTATTTTTAATACACTCTAAAGCCCTAAAGCACAGCTTGTATTATATTAATGTAGTCTCTTCTCTTTGATTTCTTCTAAAGCCTTACTTTATGTTAGCTGTATACACCCCTTGACGAGAAAAATGATTCGGTTGCCTTTGACGGCCAACAGGTCTTTTGCAGTGAAGGGAACTCCCAGCAGTGGCTTGCTCGCCAGCAGAGCCTCCGATCCCTTGATACCGCGCTGAGCAACCGAGTCCCTGACCAGCTTGTCCACTCGGCGCGCCTCGTCCAGCGCCTCGCTCATGCGTTCGTCTATGACGGCACCCAACTGGGGCTCGATGGCACCGATGCGCGCGCAGAAGGCGCCAACCACTGCTTCGCTGCTAACCTGCGTCGTCACAAGAGATTGGGATGAGAAGAAAAAAAAACCTTTGAAATTTGGAGCAGTGGTGAACTGTGCCACGTGCGTTATAGAATATTACTTAGAACTGATGGACAGATAGATAGATAGATAGATAGATAGATAGATAGATAGATAGATAGATAGATAGATAGATAGATAGACAGATAGATAGATAGATAGATAGATTGATTGATTGATTGATTGATAGATAGATCGATTTTTAATTTGGTTACTCATATATCAGTTTTTCACTCCATGTAGTCATACAATTACAGCAAGCATAGATGAGTAAACGTAGCTCCGGGTGATCTTTCGGGCGATCATTCGAAATGCATCTCAAAGGTTCTCGTGATGTCACATGCTACACAAGCCATTCGTCGTTTATAATATCTACATTGAAGTCACCAGCCAGTATGAAGGGGTTGTTCTTGTAGTTTTTATTACAGTCTCGCATTGCTATGTCGATGTATTCTGCAAAACTGCCTCGGTGGAGACCAGGGGAGTCTCGCTGCAGCTTTGCGAGCGCTCACGTACGAGTCGGTTTGCCGATGATGCCATTTCGCTGCAGCTGCGTGAGCCCTCGCCGCCTCCAGAGCGGCTTGCCGCCGTTTTCTTGCCGCTGCAGTATTGCAGGTGAGAGCTTGTTCACGTGTGTGTTCCATTCACAACCGAAAGAGCATGTGTTGTCTAACCTTGATCGTCATTAGCCAAAGCACAAAGTGCACATAGTACGTTACATATGTGTAGCGGCACCTCGCTTATCAGCGTAATAATAAATGACGCAGTGGCATAATGGTTGTTTCGTCGTCATCGTGATGGTCGTCAGTCATGACATTTAGTGAGTTTGTGCCTAGCATGTGCTGTGCCGTGATCGCGGAAAGAGAACGTGTGGTCTGCAACACGCTTGTTCTTCATTGTCATCAGCGTACCGTCCTGTCATCGAGGAACGACAGCGGACATAGCTTCACCTAAGGAGCTTCACGTCTAAGAGGGCCTTCACTTAAACACGATTGCAAACGTATGCGCCTGAGAAAACGCAACAAGCTCCATTGCCAGGCGGGCTGTACTAGGTGAAGTAGTGCTCTCAACATTATATGCATTTCTTAATACGAACATGAGAGAAGTAAAGCTTTTGTTTAGTCTAGTTGGTGCATTTTTAGGACTGTCACCAGCGAGCAGGCATGCATCATCCTGTATTAAGCGGAATGATGATGAGGACCTCATTTGAATGACGCTCGCCCACTAGGGGAGATAGGCTAAATTCCGCGAGGGCTATATCTTTTAAGGGGTGAAGCTCCTCAAGCCGTGAGTCGTGCGTTCCCAATGTATGTATGTAGTAGTAGTAGTGCTGCATCGACCAGTTGCCCGCCAAATCTTCTGACCATGTCGCCAACTCGACGCAACCTTATTAACGTTGAAGTAGACGACACACCCGTTGTTGCACTTGTGCACAAAGGGGCTCACATATCAGTGATGAATTCAGAACTTCGTTGCCGCCTTAGGAAAATTTTAACGCCACCCACAGTGCCACTCATCCAGGTCGCCGACGGCGGCACGTTTCCCGTGCTTGGAATGTGCTCCGCGCGTATAAGTGTGGCTGAGCGCTCCACGAGAGTGCTATTTGCTGTGCTGGAGAAATGTTCCCATGAACTCATCCTCGGCATAGACTTTTATCCGCCCACTCTGCCCTTATTTATTGTGGAACTGGCATGCTTCAACTTGATTTACCGTGTTACCATGACGGCCCAACACCAGCTCAACCCCATCTGTGTTCTGCAGATCACGTTCGCCTAGCACCTCAAGCCCTTACTTACGTGAACCTGAGATCTGTCTCTCTTTTTCCCGATGGTGACTACATGTTGACACCTATTTCTGACGTTCTGCTCGCCAAAAATGTTGCCGTGCCTCACACACTTTTGACAGTCACGGGAAATACAGCATCTCTTTCGATCCTAAGCTTCAGCTGGTGCGCTCAAGTTATCCCTGATGGTATCACTTCGGCAAAAGTTTATTCTATAGATACTGCCATTATGGCGTTCGTTGCCGAATCTTCTTCGTCCTCTGCTCCGTTCTCATCCTCGAAGAGCACAGCGGATGTCACCATCGACAAGATGATCGCTCCGGAACTTCTTCCAGCACAGACAGCTGACATCCGGCGCCTGCTGAAATCCTACCGCAGCATCTTTGATTTTTATTACCACCCTTTGGGTCAGACATCCTTTGTAACTCATAGGAGTAACACTGAATACGCAAGCCCCATCTGACAACGTCCTTATCGCGTGTCTAATGCTGAGCGACAAGTTATCCAGCACGAAGTTGAAGAAATGCTCACAAAAGACGCCGTCGAACCATCCTGCAGTCCATGGGCATCGCCAGTCGTGCTAGTCAAGAAGAAGGATGGGAGCCGGCGCTTCTGCGTAGACTACCGTCACTTAAACAAAGTAACACGTAAGGACGTGTATCCACTGCCGCGGATTGACGATGCTCTCGACATGCCTACATGGGTCTGCCTACTTTTCATCTATTGACTTGCGATCAGGATACTGGCAGATTTCTGTCGATCATCGAGACCGTGAGAAAACCGCATTCATCACACCGGATGGACTTTTTCAGTTGAAGGTTATGCCATTCGGATTGTGTAATGTGCCAGCTACATGTGAAAGTATGATGGACTGTCTCCTGCGTGGATACATATGGACCACGTGCCTGTGCTATCTCGATGACGTCGTCGTATTTTCACCTACATTCGAAGGCCACCTTAGCCGCCTAACGGCTGTTCGTGAGGTTTTCCGGATAGCAGGACTTCAGCTCAACACTTCCAAATGTCGCTTTGGCCGTCGGGAAATCACTGTGTTGGGCCACCTTTGTCAGTGCTCGATGCGTGCACCCTGATCCTGACAAAATTCGAGTTGTCAAAGATTTTTCCTATACCACGTTCTGCGAAAGATGTACGGAGATTTATCGGCCTTTGTTCTTACTTTCGACGTTTCGTGAAAAATTTTGCTGACATTGCCCGACCACTTACGGAGCTACTGAAGAAGGACATGCCTTTCTATTGGGGTACTGACCAAGCAACTGCCTTCAGCACCCTTACAACATTACTTACTTCCCCACCCATCTTGGCCATTTCGACCCATCAGCCCATACTGAAGTTCGTACCGATGCAAGCGGACATGGAATTGGTGCTGTTCTCGCCCAGCGGCAACGAGGGACAGGATCGCGTCATTGCTTATGCCAGTCGCCTCGTTTCTCCTTCGGAAAGCAAGTTTTCGATTACAGAGCGTGAGTGCCTTGCACTAGTCTGGGCAGTCGTAAAATGTTGACCATACTTGTTTGTCCGCACCTTTTCGGTAATTACAGATCCCCATGCCTTGTGCTGGCTGTCGTCCCTTAAAGATCCAAGCGGACGACTTCGCCGTTGGGCCTTGAAACTACAAGAATACAGCTTCGACGTGGCATACAAATTAGGCCTAATGCACCAGGATGCCGACTGTCTATCCCGTCACCCCATGGACCCACCTTACCTTTCAGCACATGATTCTGACCTTTGTGTCTTTGCCATGCCGGCTTTTACTGACATACGCAAGGAACAGCTCAGCGATGTCCACTTGTGGTCTATCATGCAGAGTCTACGCTTGCCCCACGTAGACCCGTCGCTACACTTGTTCGTTCTACGCAATGGCATTCTTTACCGACGCAACGCCAACCCAGAAGGACCAGAGCTACTACTCGTAGTTCCTGCGGCATTTCGTTCCGCTGTACTTGAACAGCTTCACCATGCCCCAACCGCGCGACATCTCAGGGTCACGCGCACGTACGACCGCGTGCGGCGTAGATTCTTCTGGCCAGGTCTTTACCGTGCTGTGCGCCGATACGTTGCTGCATGTGACTCCTTCCAGAGCTCCAAAATTTCCGCCTTGCCACCAGCTGGTCCGCTCTAACCAATTGACATACCCACCGTTCCTTCTACCACGTCGGTCTCTATCTCTTTGGACCATTTCCTACTTCTCTCACTGGAAACAAGTGGATAGCCGTAGCCACTAATTACACCACAAGATACGCTATCGCACGAGCGCTAACGACAACCTGTGCCACAGACGTTGCGGACTTCTTGCTTCATGACGTAATTCTTCACCATGGCGCTCCTCAACAGCTGCTGACTGATCGTAGTCGCTCATTTCTTTCAAAAGTAGTAAGTGACATCCTTCGCTCGTGTTCGACGCGTCACAAGCTCACTACGGCCTATCACCCACAAACAAATGGTCTTACCGAGCGCTAAATCAAACATTGACAACAATGTTCTCCATGTACGTTTCCAAAGATCACCTTGATTGGGATAGTACTTTGCCTTATGTGACATTCACGTACAATTCGTCTCGCCACGACACCGTTGGCTTCTCCCCATTCTATTCATTGCTCGGCCGCCACTACAGCGTTACCCTTCGAGACTCTTATCCCATCAACTACGCAAACGGTTCCAGAGTACGCTCGGGATGCCACTACTCGAGCTCAAGTGGCCCGCTAAATCGCACTGGAACGTCTTTTTGGCTCACAGCTCTCTCAGAAGGCCCGCTACAATAGCCATCACAGAGGAGCCTCCTACTCTCCAGGTTCATTGGTACTCTGGACACCATACCGCCACGTTGGCCTCTCTTCGAAGCTCCTGTCTCACTACTCGGGGCCTTACAAAGTTTTGCGCCGGCTTACCGATGTCACATACGAGCTCCCTTGGACAGTGAGTCATCGTCGTCCGCACCCGCTACTGACGTCGTCCACGTGACCCACCTGAAACCGCACATATCCGCTTATGATCCTACTCTCCTTTAGGTGCCGAGACGGTGCTGCCAGCAGAGGGGGGTTTTATGTTACACGACATCGGCAACGAAAGAGCATCATATATGACGAAAGCAATGAAAGCGACCGTGCTCGTGTTGTTGTTGCTGCTGTCCTTCCATCTTGGCTGCAGCTGCCTCCGACTCTCCCTG